TCAACAGTGAATTCCATTGCCATACATATCGAAAGCGCTATTACAATGTTTGGAAAGGTATTTTGAAAGTATTTCGAAAATATGCCAGGCACTGATGTGTCACATCAGGCAGTTAATTTTGTACGATTTTTCCGGCCAGTTGCCGGCTACATTTCATTCATACTTGATTGAGTTCTTCGCAGAGTCTGTGCAAAAATTTAGAGTTGTATAAATTATTGCAAGAGCTTTCATAAATGGAAGGTGAGTGTAGTATGTTTTTGTGGTGGAGAATATCCACTCAAAAATGTTTAAGAAAATGTCAGCGATCTATTTAAGTGATGGGCATTCTCGAGTATCTAAACCCCCCTTTCACATCCGGCATTCAAAGACTGCAACAGCCTTCCAACCCCGTAAAGTATTTGTAATCTGGGTCTAACTGTCCGTCTAGAGCTAGAGCAATTTAATTTTATATCCAGACTCCTGGGACGTCACACTGTTAAAAAGCTATTTCAAAACTCTTGAGAAAGCGAGCTTGCGGCACTAATCGGCTGAGATACCAATTCTGTCCTTTACGTAAAACCGAGTATCTGCTCGTTTCTGAATATTTTCCACCTACTGTTATCAGAATCAATGAAATTCCCTTCAGCCCCTTTCGGGCATAACCAAAGCGATTAAAACCGAAAAAAAAAAATTGGCTCAACTGGGTCAAAGTTCCGTTCTGTCAGTCAGGCAACGGCGTTGTACGCGTCGGAACTGAATAGTAATATCGAAATATTGTGGGCAGAGAAAAAAGCGAAGGGCAGGAAGGAATCTCTGTCTAGACGTGTGCCAAGTGCAATAGAGCACCGTAAACTGATTCCGCGGCAAACCGTCGACGGTTTGTCATATTGATTTTCTATCAAACAGCTCGCGACGCGATTATTATCGACGGGGGACTGGGGAAAGGATGGGGATGGCTGTGGGCACACTAGAGGAGTGCGTGTTGAGATGCGTGGCAGGGCTGTCACGAATCGACAGCCTGCCAATTTCCGCACTGGCCTCCATCGCGACTTCAGTCTGGCTCCGACTGCCACTTCTGATGCGTGCCCGAAAACCGAACGCCCAGGAACGGGAACAGCTGCGTCGCCAGCGCTCTGAGGCGCGCCTGATCATGGCGCGTTGCAAGGAGCGAGGTTCCCGCCTCTTCTGGAGGCCACTTATCTCTGATCTTATTATATTTCCTTTTTAGGCTTCGAGTATGTGGTTAATCCGCCGGAAATGCCGACGGTTGCCTTTGGCAGAAAAATCAAGAGGTCTCCCAGCGGAACGTTCCTCGAAGAGAAGGACATCGAGCCGCCCCCAGGACCAAATCCATTCACGTATGATTGCATGAAGGAAATTGGGTTCAAGGTGATAATAGGAATAAAAATAATGATTGCAATGAGCCTAGAAACACTAAACTGAAATACTCCTTAGTATCCATCGAAGGCTGGTTTCTCAGCGCTGGCCAGCAAGACATCCCGAATGCCGGCGGCCCGGGACTTGGGATATCCCCCTATCGGCACCTATAACGTGAAGGAATTGCGGGACCAGTATGCCTACACCTTCAACAAGCAGGTGCTCCGCCAAGAGCCCAAGTGGATGTGTCCTGGGTGAGCATCGCATTGATGACAACTTGCCGGTAGAAGATTCTAATGGGCTCTCGACCATTTTTCAGACCCTCCAGCTATATGTACCACATGAAGTACCCCAAGTTGAATGTGGATATGGCGTTTGGAACCCGGAACGTCATCTGGCCGGCGGTGGCTGTGTTCTGTGGCGCCTTCGACACCTCCCAGTGCATGGTGTGTGGCGGGAAGCCGGTGGGCGACTACTTCCATAGCTTCAGCAGCGACAAGGACATATGCCGGAAGTGCATGCACGCCATGCAGGCCGTGATCAAGAAGTGCGACCTGGGCGTGGTGGAGCGATGGTTCAAGCAGCGCGATATCAAGCAGTTTGTGCCCGCCCGCAGCTGCAGCTTCTTCCACGACCACAACGGCACCACGGCCGCCACGGAGAGGACCACGCGCAAGGTGCTGCGCGACAAAATTCGCGTCGAAAACTACCTATATCGCTTTACCCAGAAGACCGTTTAGAAAATACTAGAAATACACCGACCAATGGCGACCAGAGCCATTCAATGCATACATTGAAAGTTCTTTGTGTTTTCCTGTTCGAACATTTCAGTCGCATTTCCGGCATCTAGCTTCCTCTCTCTTTGGCGTGTGGTAGCTTCCGTTCGAGTAACGGTAACGAGGACGTTGCCAGGTTACGTACACGTGGCCAGGAGAAGCCAACAGAAACAGAAACGGACACCGACCCGATCAAGGCCACTTAACAACGGCTGCAGGCCACTGTCAGCCATTCAGAACATTATGGCATTAGAGTCGCCATCAGAGCTCTCATGTCATTTTATGGTTTACTTCCTTTGCATGAGACTAGCAGTGGTCCAGTCCAGTCCAGCCCGGTCCGGACTTGTCCTTGTCATGGACCACATTTGGCATTTCGTATGCAAGTCAGTCCGTTGCATGTGGCAATTGTGGCAGGAGGAGGCAGATCAAGTTACCTACCCTGTGAGGATGCATTCTGCCACGTACTATTTACAGGTTCCGATTAAGTTAGAGCAGAGCTTCGAGCAAGCACTGAATATTGATACTTTCGATACATTCAATTACTAATTGAACAAATGGATTTATTAGACATATACTTTACTCTCCTGAATCTGAGATATTCTCTCCAACTTTTCGTAACATTAATAATGTGTACACTTTTTTTTTATATTTCGAAACTGAAGTCCTGGATCGTTGATCGATTGGCAAACAAAAAAGAACAGCCACTGTGATATAAATTGTGCGAAACTTGAACTACATCAGCAGCAACCGTTCCCTTCTTTTTGAACAATTTTCAATTTGGTGAATGCGCGGCGGCGGAGATGACAAATCGTTGGACTTGGCCGTGCAACCAAAAAGAACAGCCACTGTGATATAGAAATGTCAAAGATGGGTGGATAATATATCAGCAGCAGCGGTTCCCTGCGGTTGGGGACACGGCACGGGGATTTGTGAGTAACTGGAAGCACTGCACAACGCGATTCCTTGGCTGTTTGGCACTTTAGGTACAAAAAGAACAGCCACTGTGATATATAGAGTCGAAGGACATATAGCACAGCAACTATTCTCTCTACTTCAAAGGCTGGTGTGGTCTCCATCGCTGAGTGTTTCGTTTCCCATGTGTGGCTGTGGGCGCAGACATGCGCTATAAAGGAAAATCACTGTGATATGTAACGGTGAATTAACGCATATCACAACGATCGTTCCTTTTAGCGTATGGCCCCTAGGAAGTTGGGAGCTAATCAATGACACTGGGATGGATGTGAGGGTGGGTATGGGTGTTGGTGTTGGTGTGGGTGTGGTTGTGGTAGGTAGTGCTGCAAATGCCACAACGAACTTCAATGGTTGTCTAGCTTTATGATCAGAGAAATCACCTAAGGCTGGACGACCAAAGAAACTAATTGCAACCACAATAAGGTATCAACTCGTGGAGTGTACACACACTTTGTCACTTTTTTCACTTTTGTCACTTCCGTCACTGGTTGGCCATGTTGAACATTCTAAAATTATAGCACGAGTGTTCGGTCTAGTCACTTCGCTTGATCGGAACCCTGGTAAAAAGCGACCAAACCGACAATCGCCATTTAATTTTAAAATTTGTCTTCTTTTTCTGCGACACACACACTTTATCGCCATTCTTGTACACTTGTTGGCGGGGCTGCAATCCTGAGACACACTTTGCCCAGTGATGAGGATGATCACGTAGACATAACTGCACAAAATGCATCCCAGGATCGTTGCCTCGGTATCGTCGTTCACAATGTGCGCTGAGACGCTCGCTGATCGCTTACTGTGGGATTATAAGACAAACTTCACCCAGTGCTGCAAGCAAGTTGGCAAAACTGAACAAAGTTTATCGTATAATAGTTCCGAGATAGTTCGTTTTTTTTTCTTTTTCTTTTTCTCCTTCACTTCGGGCACCTCACACCCTGAAGATGCGTTGCTAACTGATGATTTATCTGCCGGACATCGTATCTTTTATACCGGATCGAGCAGGCAGTCCTGCCCTGCTGAGGTGGCTGAGATCTTGTTACCTGTGGGCGGCGGGCGGACGGCCGATGATACCTGTGTAAGGACTGAGATGCTTTTCCGCGAATTCGCCGCCGTCTCGCGACCTTCGACGACGGCGTTCGTCAAAATTTTGCAACTTAATCCGTGGCCATAAACGGATTAATACGAGTACAGCTCCGTTTCAGGGAAAAACGCGCAGCTGTGTCGCGCACAAATTCGCAGAAGTGCAATTAGGTTAGGCCCACAAGACAAAAGAAGGGATCGCCGCTGCGACTGGTTAATTTGGCAGTTATCGGGAAGCATGTGTCGTGGTACTTGGAACACGGTACTTAGGTATGACAGCAACGCAATCCCGCATAGAGCACGAGTACGAGTACTTCCAGAAGTCTTTCACCGTCTCCAGAAACCTGGTGTGGTGACTGTACCAGCACACAAAGGGCTTAACGCAGTTTTCATCGGCTCAATGCAATCGAAGCGTCCTTGATGCTGGCCATGTTTAAGTGGCTTGGATTCCCACCGGTGGAAAAGACAAAATATTGCTCTTTTTGAAGACGTTGTCCCTGGTTTTTCCATTTGGCGTTGACCAATCAGCTGTGATTGATGAGATACCGAATAAAAGATCAGATTTAATGAATTACAAATGAGTTTATTTAACTTTTTAGTGGACTATATAGTCTTTCTTACAAATTTCTTACAAAGTTTTGTAATACCATTGCTACTTTAGTAAACGTACTTCTAATATCGAATTTTCTCTACGTCAGTCTCGCAGTTTGTACGAGTCTTATGTCACATTCTGTTCTAAACACATTAGGAAAACAATACGTTAATACAATATTTAAAACAACTTCAATTATTCTAAAACCACGGCTTTTACATTGGATTGACCGTTCTCAAGCAGATAAGTGAACAAAATGCATAGCATCGGAATACTCAGTATGCTCTTTATCGCTCTGGCAGTAGTAGTCGTGAGTTAGACCCAAACTTGTGTTCGATCTTAACTTATGAGCCCAAACACCACAGTGCCTGAGAGTGAACGAATTCGTGGCTATGCCACTGTCCATATCCAAGCCGAATCGTGGGAATTTCGCATCCACACCAGTGGCGGAGGCTAAGATTGAAACCAGCACGGAACGCGGACGGGGGAACCTGAGCCTGGTTAGCAATGATAAGGTCTGGGGCATATGGATGAATCAGAAACCCCACAGGAAGATACAAAAGATGATCGAGGCCGGCTTGCTCGCCGGTGGCGTCACGGGGAACACAACCAATACACCCACCACACGCCACACAACCAGCCACACAGCGGACAGCACCATCAAGCTAGCAATGAATTCTAGTGTACCGACGATGAATGATTTGAGACTTTTTGAAGGGCCTGTAAGCGTGAGAGCAGGCGCTGGAGGAGGCGGGGGAGACGGTGGAGGCGGTGAAGGCGGCGGAGGCGGCGAAGGCGGCGGAGAAGGCGCACATAGACCTGGCGGCAAGGAGCTAACCGTGAAAATTCCAATGGTTAAAAAGAATCAGTACGGTCAGTGGGTGTTCGATCCATGGGCCGCCACCTTTGGGGTCATGTTTTTAGATACTCGCTTCGCCGCAAGGGCCGCTCACACTCTGCCACGGGTGGTCGTCGACTCGAATCCAATCATAGAATACTTTCCGCGCAAAAAGAAATTGGAGCAAATCTGTGCTAACAAGAGCACCATTTACAAAGTTGACCTTGTCAATGACTGGCTAATGCGCCACCTCTCCAAAACGAAGTTCAAGTTTCGACCCTTCCAAATTGGCTTGCGGAGGACAGCGTATAATACAGGATTTTCCGAGTTGTGCCACACCGAATTGTACAACGAACTGGTCGATTACCTTCTGTGCCAGATACTACGCAATCAGAGAATGGAATCTGTGCTACCCAAGTATTCATTACAGCAGATAGCCATATCCTAATCTCCATGAACCATTACGATTACATTGCGATAGAGCATATGCATACCCACTCAAATAAAATGTGAAATAAAACGGTTATTTGGTTTGGTTTTTTTGTTAGCTTTCGCTGTATATTTTTTTTCTGGTTTATTTGGTAAAATTAAATCAATATCTTCATTTCATTTTGCAATTCTTTGTTTGCTTGTTATTACCTTTTTTCAGATATCTTTTTCTTAGAAAAACGAACATAATTGTTTCAAATTTTCAGCGTTGTACAACTAGAAGGAGAAGAAAACAAATGTTGAAAACTAGAAGATGGAAAATTATAAAGGAATCTTCTCAATTGATTCATAGTTCTTGCTGCAGCTGTCCTGCATCTGGTTGTCCGTCCGCGGCGCTGACTCCTTCTCCACCTCTACGCACTCCTCAAACCAGCTGTGGGGAAGTAAAAAAGATAGATGTACAACATATTATTATTTGGACATGCTAGCGAAATCGTTCTCTGTCGCTAAAAAGTGGCTGAAATCGGATGATGATGTCGCAAGTAATCTGTTGATTTCTATATGCATTGTGTTCATTTTACAATTGGGTATCGGAACGGAACGTTAGCGTCAGTTCGTTGAATGAATAATGTTCAACATAACTCTGAAGTGTAGTGTGATCGAAACCTGCGGGCAAAACAGACGGGCATTAGCATTTTGAATTTCAGAATTGTAAGAACTCCCCTCCACTCACCGCTTTGTGTAAAATATGTTGGGCTTCCACTTGGGTTGGGCATCAATGCCAAGAAAATTAATGGGGGAGAATAACTATGATAACTAATCCTTAAATGGTATGTGTTATAGCTTTTTACACTGCAAAGATACATTAAGGGATATTCATTATATTAGTTAAATAAATCTGTTGTCTAAGAACTCTTCATTACAGATTAGCATATCGTTTTGTTTATCACCAAACAGCAGACCCTTTTTACATAAAGTGTGCTTGGTATTCTGAAATTCACAAGTATATCACTTAACCCTTCAACTTGAGTGGAACATGTGAATCTCTGAAATTGTATTCAAATTTAAGCCAAGCAAAATTTCGCTCAATGAATGGAATGTCTCTTAAAAGGTCTTCCAATCGTTTATTTACTTTACGAAGCTTTAACTATATTGCATACAGATCTATAAAGAAAATTTACCTACATATCTGATGATTCTAGAACAAAATAAACAAAACCAACGACTGGATTCATTGACGGAAAAAATATAAAATAATTTCGAAAATAAAAATACCAAAAAAGTGTAGTTTTTCTTTTGTTTTATCGTTTAATTACTTTTTTTAAAAGTATGAATTTAATCATTTCTAGAGCATTGTCTCTGGAAAATGTGTTTGTAATTTTTGTATAACTAAGAAACTGATTGATTGCTTAAATCCTTTTCCCTCACTCGTAGAGCCGGAGGAGGTGAGCTGAGTGAAATACTGTTTAAGTTAAATATAGTAAATAGTCAAATTAGAGCATAAACCAGTCTCGTGTCAAGGTAAGTCGGAATAAGTAGCACATATGCGAGGAGAAGGCGAGCGAATGATTCAATACATGGTAACAACTTACAAGAAATTGTCGTGGCCGATGCAGCGGCTGGGGCTGCTACAGATACTGGCGTGGGAGTTGCTGTTGCTCCTGCTGATACTGTGGGAATGGCTCTGGCCAGTGCCTGCGTTTGTGGTTGTTGGTGTGGTTGCGTCGGTAGTAGCTGATGCTGGTGGCTGTCATCATCATCATCATCATCGTCGTCAATGTAATAGCAGATCTTGTTGTTGGTGTTGCTGACGCCACCGCCACCGCCGCTTCCGCCAAAACCATTGATGTTGTTGCTGTGGATGATGTGGGTGTGGGTACTGCTGATCGGGTTTGCCGAATGTATGGTTTTTGTCGCTGTCTGCTGTTTGCGCTTGTGTCCGGTTATGCTTAGAGCCGCCGATAGACTCGAAGCCGCATGCAGGATCGAGCGCTGATTGAAAATACTATTGGAGGCTGCCGCTGCAGCCGCGTTGTTGTTCTTCCGAAACTTCTGATGCTGATGATGATGATGGTGACCTGATGGTGGCAGCGGTGGCGGCGGCGGCGGTGGCGGTGGCTGCTGTTGCGCCGGCGGTGGATGTAGCGTCGGCGGTTGTCACGAACATGCCACCTCCGTCGTCGTGGCAGTGCTGTTGCTTCCGTTATTATGCGCCTGCGACTGCGGTGACGACTGCCCTTGCTGCTGCTGCTGCTGCTCCTGCTCCGATGTATCCAACTCCGAGCCGTTCTTGCCAGATGTCTTAAAACTTGGCGCATTCGTTTGTGCCGCAGTGGGTGTGGTGGGCGTCTGAGCTCCCAAATCGCTCGATGCATTCGAATTATCCTCCGTCAGCTGGATAAAACCCAAGAACTCAATCAAAAAGATCCGCGATTAATATGGCTAGCGCCTGTACTTACCGATTCACTTAGCCGGTGGATCTTGGCGCCGCTATCCCGTCCCCGATTGCCACTGGCTAGCTGCGTCTGACTGCCCGGCGGCAGAGCTTCCTGCGACTGGGCCAATTCTGTGGAGAGTCGCTTGCGGTTGGCCAGCAGCGTGTTGTTAAAGCTAGTGTGGCTCTCCATGGACTTGCGCTCGCGTTTGAGGAAGTCAGCGTCCAAGTAGACGGTGAGCTGCTTGCGCTTTACATGCCGCGCATCGATGGCCATGCCCTCCTTGAGCATCTTGATGTTGACCTAGAAACAACCATAATATCGATTAACCACCACCGAATATGAATACTCTTTCGACGCTACTTACGCCATGCATGATCACGTGCTCTGTGAAATTCTGTATGCTTTCTGTGAGGTCGACGTTGAGGTTCTCCGAACGCTCAAACTCCAGACCGATGAACCACATGGAGCAGAAGGGAGCCGATGTCACTGAGGCCTGGTTGGGCGGGGGCTGCTTCAGGTCGTCCTCGTTGCCGCTGTTGTTCTGCGAGTTGTTCGCGCTCTCCCCCTTCTTCAGTTCAAAGCATTTGGGGTTGACGTGCGCCAGAGCAATGTGAGGATTTCGCTCCAAGTTGCCGATAAGCAGGCGGATCTTGGACTCGACGAGTCCACACCACTCCAGGTGGTCGTCAGCCGTCTGCGAGTTGACCAACAGCACTATGAAGTGGCGATATCTGTAGAAAAAGCTGGGCGCCTCGAAGAGACGCTCCCAGGATGCGCGGCCAAGCATGATCTCGTCCGTAATGTTCATGCCGCGAGTGAACTCGGTCAACATGACCTTCTTGGTGGATTCGGACACATTAAATGTGGAATTCTGTTGTGGATACGCAGGCGTTATGATTGGCATCAGATGATAGCGATCTGATGCATTGACGCGCGGATCCCAGACCTAACCCAGCCGCGGAAGCATTAAAGAGTTGGATCAATTAAAGAAAACACTTTCCGATTTGGGAAGCAAAACTTCTTTACATACCTGAAATCTGAGATTCACGTTGTCGGGGTGCTTGAGTAGCACCGGATTAGGCCACTTCCAGCGCGAAAAGACCAAGAAGAACTTGTGCACCAAGGTGGCAGCTGTAGCGTTCGGGTACAGCTGGCAAGTCCGGGCCACCAGCATGGCCCAGGTGACGCCGCCGAAGTAGCCCAGCGAATTAGAATAAATACCATGCTCTGCGGATAGAGAAATATTTAGTTTGCTGCAATGACTAGGGGTTGGTCGAATACATACTCTTGGCCCACAGCTTGATGGTGCGCAAGGCTAGGCGAAAATTCTCAATGTTGGGCACCAGGGCCAGGATCTCGTCCGTCACACGGCAGCCGTTGAGGCTGCGCACCGAGCGATGATCCAGATTCCGAAGCAAATTATCATCGCGCAGATCAAAGTCGTCGGGTATCTCTTTAAGCGAAAGTCGCGCGAACAGCAAATCGATTTCGATGCCATCAAAGTTCATTTTGATGACTGGCACAAAGGCCTCTTCCACGGAGCGACACTCGGTGACCTCCGGCTGCTTCTTCAGCACCTCGAAGAAGCTCTGAAAGTAGTCGGCGCGCTCAATGTTGCGGGGAGCCACGCACAGGGCATCGATATCGGCTCCCTTGTGGTGCACACCGAGGCGATACGACCCGAAGGTGTATATCTTTCCGCCCAGCTTTTCGGCAGCGGACTCTGGCATGTTCTTGCTGACGGACATCTCCTTCACCCACTGCTTGACCAGCGTATTGAGCTTGGCCAGGATCTCCATGCGGTGGTTCAGCTCTTCCTGGCTCTCGAACACGTTGAACGGCTCCAGGGAGGCGCGGAGGTTCTCCGTCCGCTGCAGGTCCGCCGGTTTCGGCTCGGCCAGGCTGATGGCCGAGGTCATGCCCAACTGTTTGGCGGGCTGGCCCCCCGAGGTAGAATTGCCATTGTGTTGATGTTGGTGCTGGTATTGCTGTTGCTGTTGCTGCTGCTGCTGATTCTGGCGATGTGTTGGTTCGGAATTCCACATTTTGTATAAGTTGGGCTTAAAATATAGGTACTGGAGTACCGGGAAGCAAATGGATTAGTTGATGCTCTGCTCTAAGGCGTTTGTGACGATTGGTTATCTCACCTATCTAGGCTTAAAATGTATGTATTGTAGTACAATTAAGTTGCTCGTGCTGCTGCCCAAAAAATGGAATTGTATCTGTTGCCACTTGCTTTGTCCTTTTTGTTTCTCGTCTTCCACTTCGCTTTGTTGTTCTTCCTCTTCTTAATCCTGGGACTTTTATGCGCTAAATAAAATGCTGAAAGCAGTTCATATATATATAACTTTAACAGACAATTGCAATTTATATGAGTGCTGACGAAACTGCGATAAGATTTTTTACCCCACAAACGCACACACCACCAGCACCGTTATGTGAGAAAGCAAAACAATGAACGCCAAGCGGCAGCTGGTCACACTGGAACGCACTCTCTTCTCTCTCTCTCTCCCACACACGCTCTTTCTTTCGATTGGGGCATAAACAAATGCGTAAATAAATTAGCGCAAAGAGATGTGCCGCGGGGTGCGGGCTGCGTGCAAAAGTGCCAACTAATCGTGGAAATTGACAAACATAAACAAAGAAACCACAAGCAGAGGCAAACCATCATTTTCCTTGCATATGCAGGCACTGAGCGCACCTCACGCGCTCCAACTCACGCTCACGCACACCTACACCTACACTGGCAGGCAAGCGTATACATACACGCCGAAAAACAAAATACATAAGAGTGGGGGGAAACTTTTATCTCTTTTATCCTACCTGCGCTGAGTCGTATCTTCTTGTGTGGGATCCAATCTACAAGCGAATCTTCAGGCCAAGTGAATCCCGGCTACGGGACGTGCCTCCTGTACATATGGGCAATGTATAATTTTGTAATTTGGCAGCAGCGGGCGCGTCGTCGAGTGTTGCCCATTCATGCGTTGTGGTTGGAGTCCGGCGTGTGCAGACTTTTTGCAACTCTTGCGTCTTTTGCTGTCGCTTTATCTTCTGGCTTCCTGCCCTCTGCGCTTTTCACTATTTTTCTACCTCTTTTTACCACTGTATGCGGCCTCTCGCGTTTTTTATGCTACGTGACGTTCTCTGGCAGCGAAGCAAACTGACGCACACGCATTTAGTAGAGGAGCACAACAAAAAACACTATTAGCCTTTTGCTGGGGGGCTTTTGTAGCGGGGCACGGTTCTCGATTAGGTTGGGGGCCGACTTGGTTGCTTTTAACGTGCGCCAAACATTTTCCGCTGCTTTTTTTTCTTTTGATTTGCGCGTTCTAGCAATTATAATGCAGTGTGACCGCGGATGAAGTATCCCTTCGGACCCTCAGAAATATACCGTCTCATTTTTAAAATATACCGTAAATATACCAAACTTAGCCCACTTCAGCCCCCGTTACTTAAACAGGTGAAAATAATAGCGTTTATCTTTATTAAACGATAGAGACCACGATATCTTTCAACTGACCTGCTCTAGAATTAGTCGAAATGCATTAAATTAGTAGAGGGTGCTAAAGTACCCACAATGTACCGATGACAAAAACGAACTAAGCCCACTTAAGCCACCTATTTAAACAGTTCAAAGACTTCAGGAATATGGCGGCAAATAGTACCGTCTGTGAATACTTCTTGTAGATCTATGCCTTTGGACTTAAAAAACGCGATATCTAAGATATCATATCTTTCTCCTGAACTATTATGAACTATGAACTAAAACTATTCAATTTTCATTTCCGGTGGAATATTAAAATATAGTGGTCTAAAATGGGTTAAGCGTTCTCCTTCAAGGATTGAAAGCCATTTTCTTCGATTTTAATATTAGATTTGATTTACTAGCTAAATGGGACTCTCAACCCTAAACATGTAATTGTATCCCTTTGATGAAGTAATTTTGCACACGATGTGAACGAAACGGAAGTGTGTATGAAATTTTCCGTCAGTGCTGCTGGTAACCGATTACAATTCTGTTTTGATTAGTTAGTCCTGTATAAATATCTCGATCTTGATCCTCATTCTTAGTCTCTATAAGAAGACAATAAATTGATATTTTTTAAGCTGAAATTTGTTGTGTTTGTTGTTTAAAACAGAGACTGCATTCTGCATTCATTGGAGCCTAGGATAATAAACATTTCCTCAATTCTATAGTATCCTTTTTCGCAGGGTATTTGCCAAAAATATCGGTATTTTGTGTGATATGATGCGATAGGATGCGTCGCGCTGCCAAAAACCTCAATGCGACGCTCTGGCAACGCCGGAAACAGCTGGGGCAATTTCGCATCGATTCTGTTTATATTAT